CTAGCTGATGGACCTATGACCCTATTCTGTGATAACAAAGCAGCCATAAACATTGTTGCTAATCTAGTGCTGCATGATAGAACTAAACACATCGAAGTCGACAAACACTTTATCAGAGAAAAGGTTGTCACAGGGGAAGTGTGTACTCCTTATGTTAGTTCTGAAGATCAACTTGCAGACATCTTTACAAAAAGGTTACACCACTCACGTCATCATGATTTACGTGACAAATTGGGCATGATTGACATCTATGTCCCAACTTGAGGGGGAGTGTTAAAAGGCTATTAATTCTCTAAGTATAGTACCGTAGGGGTACTATTTGTAATTTTCTCCTTTTATTTTTTATATTTGTCGCCCTAGTATATATACCAAAAGCAGGTGTCGCCAGCAGAACTTTTGGCTCTCAGATCTCTCTTCTCTCTTCCTTTCTTCTTCTCTCCTGCATAACAGATAGAAGTGGAGAAAATGGATAAAAGTTTGCACCACTACTACAAGATTCTTGATCCTAATTAATGGTCCTACAAAAGGAAATCTCAAGAGATCAAGAGGTCTAAGACAAGGAGATTCCTTGTCACCATTATTGTTCCTTATTGTTTTAGGGATGATATAAAGAAATTTAAATGGCTTACTAGAAATATGTATTTGAGGATACATTAGTTAGGAGATAGGCTAATGTGATGGTGGATGCTTTAGCTAAGCAAATTCTTTGATAGTTGACCCGAGACAGAGAAATTAAGTTTAAGTGGATTAAGAGAAGTGCAAACTCTTTTATGGACTCACTTACCAAACCAGGTTATAGAAACTCTTTGTACATAGGACCATATGTACTTTTTATTTGATTTAATACAATCTTACTTTGGGATGGGCCTTGGTGTGTGGGTGGGGATTTCAATGTGATTAGATTCATGGAGGAAACCAATAATACTAATTAGAGGGTGACAACTAGTATGAGGAAGTTTAACCGATTTGTGGATGCCTTTGAACTCAAAGAGATACTATTAGCCCATAAGACATTCACTTGGTCAAATTTCCAATTGAGGCCCACTTGCTCCAAGTTGGATAGGTTTCTGTTCTCTTTGGATTGGGAAGAACACTGGGGAAATTTAGAATCTAGTGCTCTTCCAAGATTGACCTCTGACAATTGGCCTATAGTGATTTGCAAGGAGGAAAGGAGGAATGGTGGACCTGCCCCCTTTAGGTTTGAGAATATGTGGTTGCTCCATCCTGGATTCACTAAAAGAGTAAGGGAGTGCAACCCAGTGGTGGATTGGGAGGGGATGAGGTTCGATAGGAAGCTACAATTTTTGAAAGCAAAGATCAAGGAGTGGAATCAATTGGAGTTTGGAAGGCTTGAAGAAAAGAAGAGAACCTTGATGGACAAGATTGAGAGCCTTGACTTGAACGAAGAAATGGGAGACTTTGGAGAGGCAAACAAGAGGTTTGAGAAGTCAGCTTGAGGACTACCTACATAAAGAGGAAATTAGCTGGAGGCAAAAATCTCGATGTAAATGGCTACAAGAGGGAGATAAAAATACCAGTTTCTTTCATTCTTTGGCAAATGGGAAAAGGAGAAATTGTATCTCCAAACTGGAAGTAGACGGAGTTGAGTTAACACAACAAGATGAGATTGCAAGAGCCTTTGTTGGACACTTTAAATCCATTCTAAGAAGGCCTATAAGTAGGGGGTATGGTTAGAAGGATTGGATTGGCCAGATGTAGGAAATGATAACAGAAGATTGGAGAGAAGGTTTGAGTTGGAAGAGATTTAGGAGGTTGTTTCTCTATGGATAGAACAAAAGCTCCAGGACCGGATTGTTTCACAATGGCTCTTTACTAGACTGTTGGGATATGGTGAAAGATGACCTTTTGTCTGTTTTTGAGGAATTTCATAGGAGAGGAGTGGTTAACTCGGGTGTGAATTCCACCTTTCTAGCTTTGGTCCCTAAAAAGAAAGATGCATTGCATCCAAAGGAYTTCAGGCCAATCAGCTTGGTAAATAGCTTGTATAAGATCCTTGCAAAGGTGTTGTCTCTGAGATTGAAGGAAGTGTTGCCAGCTATCATCTCACCAAATTAAGGAGCTTTTGTGAGTGGAAGACAAATAACAGGTCAAATTCTAATTGCTAATGAGAGTGTGGAGAATTTCAGGAAGGATAGAAAGAAGGGAGTGGTCTGTAAGTTGGATCTGGAAAAGGCCTATGACTTGGTGGAATGGGAATTTTTGAGGAAAGTTATGACCAAATTTGGATTTGGGGCTAGATGGTGCAAATGGATTATGGGGTGTGTTCAGAATTGTCATTACTCGATACTAGTGAATGGGACAGTGGTTGACTTCTTCCCAGTCATTAGGGGTGTAAGACAAGGAGACCCACTGTCTCCCTTCCTGTTCACACTGATTGCTGATGTTCTGGGGAGATTGATCCACAGAGCAGATTCTAGGGGTCTTATTAGAGGATGGAGAGTTGGAAGGGAGGATACCCCCCTCACCCATCTTCAGTTTGCAGATGACACGATTTTGTTCTGTGAAGGGGGAAATCTGAGGTTTATAAGGAACTTGAAATTGGTGATACAACTCTTTGAACAAATGTCAAACTTGAACGTGAATTTTAAGAAAAGCTGTGTAGTGGGTGTGAATATGGAGGAAGGTGAGATAAGGGAGATTGTAGAAGTGCTAGGGTGTGAAGTCTCAGAGTGGCCTTTGGGGTTGCCATTGGGTGATAACCCAAAGAAAGTTTCTAGAATTCGGTGGTGGGAGGATAACACTGATTAAGGCTACTCTAGCAAATTTACCAATTTATTTTTTTTCAGTGTTCAAAATCCCAGTAAAGGTTTCTAGTAGATTGGAAAAGATGATGAGAGACTTCCATTGGGAGCTGGGAGAGGAGAAGAGGGACCATAGAGTAGGTTGGGAGGTGATGACTAGGAGTAAAAATAGTGGTGGTTTGGGGCTCGGGAACATTAGAAAAAGGAATTTGGCCCTTTTGGGGAAATGGTTGTGGAGATTCCCACTAGAGAAGGAGAAGTTATGGGCCAAGATAGTGGTCAGCATACATGGGCTGGAGCTAAATGGATGGGATGCTGGAAATCCGAGCTAGGACTACAAGTGCTTCACCTTGGAAAGCCATTCATGAGTTGTTACTAGTTTTTTCCCCTCTTATCAAGTATGACTTGAATTTAGGTAATGCTATAAAATTCTAGGAGCAAACTTGGGTGGGGAATGCCCCTCTAAAGGACCAGTTTCCTTTTTTGTATGCCCTCTCTGACCTTAAAAATGAGCCAATCTCCTCCTTCATAACCCCCTCTTCCACCTCTGGGTTTGGGTGGAATTTGGGTTTGAGAAGGGCTATGAGAGACTCAGACCTTGACTTCAGCTTCTTGACAATATTTTCTTAGACCTTGCTAAGGTGGACTCTAGAATTTGGACCCCCACCCCATTGGTTCTTTCTCCTGTGCCTCTTTCTTCAAAGTTTTATGCCAGTCCACCAGTCCTGTAGCCCTCCCTTTTCTTGTTCATGAGGTTTGGTGGTGATCAATCCCTCCTAGGGTTGGTAGTTTTTGCTGGGAGGCCTTTCTGGAAAGATTCAACATTGGTGATCTACTCCAAAAGAAGAGACCCAATACTTGTTTGTCCCCTCACTGGTGTGTTCTTTGTAAAGCTGATGGGGAGACTGGTTTTCACCAACTGGTGTCTTGCCAATTTGCAAAGTCTATTTGGGAGTGGGCTCTCTCCCTATTTGGGTGTAGTTGGAACCCTCCATCAAATTTGCAAAATCTGTTTTCTCCTTTTTTCAGGTGGCACATGAAAAGGGGCAGGACTATGTGGAGAGGACTGAGGGTTGCAATTTGCTGGTCCTTATGGGAAGAAAGAAATGCCAGGATCTTCTTGGAAGTAGAGAGAAGTGCTGACGAATTGAGGGCTTTGATCCCTTACAAGGGTCGTACAATGGATGAAATCACTAGAGTTATTCATAGATTATACAGTGGATGATATGTTGAGGAATTGGGGTGAGATTGTTAACAGCACCCCGACCAAAATAGTGATGAATGTGTCTTGGGCTCCCCCACTTGCGGGTTTCATAAAACTAAACTTTGATGGAGTTGTAGAGGGAATCCTGGACAATCAGGTATTGGGGGTGTTTTCAGGGATGAGAATGGGGTTGTTTCTACCATGTTCTCAAGCCCAATTGGAGTGGGTGACTCTCTCAGAGACGAGATCCATGCGGTTATTATGGAAGGAATCCAGAAAGCCAGGGAGATGAATATCAGAAAACTTATAATTGAAGGGGACTCAGAGGTGGTGGTAAGATGGCTGAATAAAGACAGCAGTGGCTTATAGAATTACAGCAATATGAGGAGGAAATTTAGATGGCTGGCTCGAGAGATGGAAGTTAAAATCAGTTGGGTAAAAATATCAGCTAATTCTTTTACTGATGGGTTAGCTAAACAAAGGGTGGAGAGGGAGTCAATGTTTTGGGCACGGTTGTAATTTTATTTTTCTATTTCTCCTTCTCTTTCTCTTTTTCTTTTTCCTTCTCTTGGGGCTCAAGTTATAGTTGGAAGATAAGAAAGTTTGTCTTCCTCTTTGTAATTATTATTGAAAGTTTTTAATTAAATTAATGAATTGTGTTATTGATCAGAAAAAAGTTGATTCTCTATCCAAGGAAAGATCTAACCATTATCTGTCTACAGATGGGTTTGTAAATCAACTGTTATAAAACTGAGCCAGATGGGCTTGTACTCTATTGGCCTGCTACTCTTTTTTGGTAGTATGGAGATTTTTAATGAAATGCTTATGACTATTTATTAAAAAACTATTCTTTATCTGTCTAGAGATTGGTTTTAACCAAGAACCTTCGAATGCCATTTTACATTGTTTTACTTCTGTTTTCTTTTGTTTACAGTACTTTGTTCTCTTAAAAATTTCCTTGGTAGATAAAATATGTTCCTATTATCATTTTATCTAACATGGGGATTTTTTCCATTTTTTGTTCTTGTTTCCAGAAGATAGCAGAGATAGCTCATGCACATGGTGCTCTTTTGATGGTGGATAACAGTATTATGTCCCCTGTACTTTCACGGCCATTAGAATTAGGAGCAGGTATTTCCATGCATATAATAAGTTAAACAAAGTCCGTGTGGCATGTTAATATTTAAAGTTAAACAAAGTGCAATAGCTTCCTATTTCAACTATCAGCATGTGATTCTGATCATTCCTTGTACCTTCTCAGACATTGTGATGCACTCAGCTACAAAATTTATAGCTGGACATAGTGATGTCATGGCTGGTGTCCTTGCTGTAAAGGGTGAAAGGTTTGTAATTTTACCATTTGTAGCTTATTTCACATGTAATATTTTATGGAAAACAAAAATTAAGAACTTTATTTGAAGCAAATGGGTTCTAAGACTGTTGTTTTGACAGCTTTTTAGGGATATATACTTTATGGTTTAGATATACAAGTAAAAGAAAAATAACTTATAATATTTGTTTCCCTCTCATTTACTGGACTTGGTTGTTGATCATGTAAAATGACACCCAGTCCTATGCATGAAAATGCCTTTTGACTTGATGCATTTGCAACTGGATTTCTTGTTTCCAGGCTTTTGGTTTTCTTGCATATTCTTTGACTAGGAGGTGAAAATCAGTACCTGATTTGAAAGTTTCACACTGCATCAGGCCTGGGCCCTTATGGTCAGGCCCTTCAAATTTAACAATGCTCAATCCAGGCCTGATGAAGTTGCATCCCCTATCCTTTGGCGATGGCTTTGGAGCTAATATAACCTTGGTTATACTTCATTTCTTTTAATTAAGCTGTGCTATTCATTGCCTTATTTGTTGGCTTGGATTTATTACATTCAGTTGGTCAAGGAAGTATACATTCTATTATCTTCAAGAAGATTTAAATAGTTTAGTTATGTTCATAGGATGTATTTCATATTATTGTGCTACAAAGTCTTAGTTGGGAAATATTATATTCTTCTTTTTTTTCTTTTAATAGGGAGCACCTGTTTTGGGCTGCACTGTAATTGTTTGTTATTTCAGTTTCCTTCTTTTTGGTTGGATGTAATCTTTTAAGAGTGAGGCTGCACCTTGTGGCTCTTTCTGGGATACTTATAACAGATCTATCTTTTGATTAATAAATTAATATTTCAATTATCAAAAAAATATATTTTTSTTCTTTTATTTTTAAAAGAAAAGAAATATTCAGTTCTCTTCTAATAAGTTTTTGATTAAAACCCCAGTTTAGGTTCCACATCTTGAGTTCTGAAATTACTATAAATTCATTTGATGATTGAGACATCAACCCTTGGTATTGCACTTTTTCTATTTTCTTCTTTGTGATTATTTATATATTTATTTTGCAATGTTCAGCTTGGCCAAAGAAATAGCTTTCCTACAAAACGCAGAAGGGTCTGGGTTAGCTCCTTTTGATTGCTGGATTTGCTTGCGTGGTATTAAGACCATGGCTTTGCGTATTGAGAAGCAGCAGGTACAATACCTCCTGCTAATACTAGATTCTTCTCACCTCCAGTAATTTGTAAGACTGTCCTGCTTAAAATTAGAGTTTCTTTCTTTTTATTTTTTGGTACATGTATGCTATTATTGAGTCTGTTCTGTTGTAATAGTTAGATAAATAAACCATTGGGGTAATAAAAGAAAAGAAATGTAGTACCAATGGAGTGGTAAAGTAGTAGAAACTCCCTTGGCAACTATATGCAAGGATAAGTGTAGAACTAGGAAGTATAAAGTTTATGATTGTTATAAGCAGAAGAATAGAACACTTCTTGTGCAATGTAATGACAGGGAGGATGTTAGTTCGGGAAATCACTTGGGTGAGTGAGTAATGTTTTGTAAAACAAAGAATAGCATTTGGAAATCTTTGAACATATTTTATCATTAATACACAAATTATAGAAATGATAGAATTGTCTCACCTATATTCCATCTCTGTATAAATAAAAAAGTATAGTGTGTGCATATGCGCAAATGTGGTACTGGGTGACAAAGTGTCTCTTTCTAAGAATTAATGATGATTTTTTAAACTATTATAATTTGGATTTGTTGGGTGGTTAGATCTGATGATGCACAAGAACCTGGTGTATATGGAAAATGTTTCTTTGGGTGGTAACTATCCCAAAGTTCAACTGTTTTTGTTTAAAACTGCCCACATGAAGTGCTTATTTTGGTTATGTGATAAGAACTTTTGTTCTGAAGATTATGCCATGATTAGAGGGTAAGAGTTAGACAAGATGGGCCATTTTGGCTCCAAATCTAGGTGCCATGTCAATTCAACTAGCAGATTGTGGTCTGTGGTATGTTGATACAGCAAAAAAAAAAAAAAAAAAACTCTAATGGCCCAATGGCCTGGTAGAAGAATGTGATCTTAACATCAGTCAAAAGAATTACTGATTGGGGAAGGATTTTGGAGGCGATTGTGGAGAGATTTAAATTAAAGGGTCCTGTGAATATTAAGCCCTTCGAGGATTCGAAGGCTGTTTTATTTGGAGTTGACGAAGACGTGATTTCCACTGCTGAAATGGTGGCCTCTCCAGATGGCATGGTAACGGCGGAGGTTTGGTACATGTCTTATAATCAGAACCCCATCTCTGAAGAAAATATTGCGATTCAGCTTGCAGGACTTCCCTTCAATCTTTGGAATGTGGAAACCCTTGAAAGGTTGATCTAGATTATGGGTGGAGATTTGACAGCTTATAATCTTCAAGGTCTTCATACTGCAAGACTCAGAATCGCGGGACTGAAACCTGAAGATGTCCCTAGATGCATAAGTCTGCTTGCAGATGGTCTCTGGCTGAATGTCTGGGTTCTGCTGGAAGTCGAAATGTTGCTTTGGATGAAATGTTCTAAGGTAGCGGACTATGTTTTTCTCTAGGGATGGGTCACATATGGAGGGGATAGGATTGACAAAGGATCAAAGGCTATTGGCCAAAGTTCAAAGGAATCTGTAGAGACTGCACGTGGGTCTGGCGATAAAGTTGCAATTCAAGTTTAATTGAAAACGGAGAACAAAGGTTAGGTGCAAAAACTTGTGTAGAGGCCATTATGTGCGGAGCCACCCCATCTAAAGCATTGGAACCACACAACTTAAGAATAGTTCAAGGGTTGGAACCGGCTTTAGGGTCTGGTCGGGTTACAAAAAGCAGGTCATGCGATTATTTAAGTAATCAGACGACTTGAGTGGAAAGGTCTTTGAGTGACTCGGTAGGTGACGATTTGCCTCGTCTATCATCATCTTTCTCCATTCAGAGGACTTGCCTGAAGCTTGTGTCTCATCCAAGTGGAGTTTTAAATGAAGCTCAAGCTCGTAGTATTGATCTAGTTAATGGAAGGAAGAAAAATCAGAGGAGAAAGGACAGAGTTTACAAGAGAAAGGTCTTGGGTCCTAACAGACCAAAGTTCAAATTCAAAAGAAGTGGGACGCTGATTAGAAGTGCCTTGTCTGGAAGTAGAAAGAGAAAGGAAGAAAGGTGGACTGGGTGATCGCCAAGTATGATAAGAGCGATAAGAAGAGTATTATCGGTGGAACAGGTGTGGACCTTGTTAATTGCCCAAATTCTTCAGCAAATGGTGATACTGATCTCCGCTCTCAGGGTGGCAGAGGAACCAAGGTGATTTGCAACTCCACTGAGCCTGGGGTTACAGATGCGAACAGGTACGGCTCTGGAAATCCTGCTCCATTGACTTTGGAAGTGGATTTCTTTTCAGGTTTAGAGAGGCTGGAAGGGGAGGGGGAGGAGGAAGTTGGGGAAGGGCGCATCTTTGCAGGTGATGAACATGAGAATGAAGGTGAGACTGGAGGGAAAGGGGAAACAGGTGATGACGAAGGTGCTGGGTGCCAGGAAGAGAGCTATGATGAGGACTGTTTTCACTTAGGAGGTGAAGGTGGGAAGGTTGGGTGTTGATTTGGGCCAAAGGAACATGCCTGATGAAAAGGAAGAGAACCAGATTAGCAAGAACTCACACAATTTGTGAAATCATAATGTAGTGTATGTGACTAAGATCTTCTCCAGGCTAAAACTTGGTCTGGCAGGGGAAGGACCTACGAAAAACTACAAATGGGTTTATAGGAGGAAAAGAACAAGAGGCAGTGGGACATCTGGCACTGACAATAGGGGGCAACGGTGCAAAGTCAGCCATTGGCCTCCCATTCGAGGAAGGAGCAACAGGAGAACAAAATGAGTGGTGTTGACTCTGATTCTGGTGCGAGCGGGACAATGCAAAATAATGAAGGCGATGACGCTAGATCGGGGTGTGGGACTCCAGAATTTGGTGAGGTCATGATTGGAAAGAGCATGGGTTTGTTTTTCTGGGGTGGTGAGGAGTTTGCTAGAAGGGCGTTTGAGGAGTTTGAAAGGAGGAAATGGGAAGAGAAGGTCAACAGTAAAGTTCATTGGGAAGGAGACATGAGTTGGGATGAAGATGATCCGAGCCAGAAGGATGAGATCGTCGAGGAAGATTGAGGCCTTTGTTATTGGGCAAGGAGGGATTATGTTTCTGATCAGGGGTGGGGATGGCTGTATATGCTCTCATGGGGGTTTTTTTTTGGGTTTTTCCCTTGGCCTTTGCTTGAGGTTGTTTGGGTTCTTTGGGTATGTTTCCTCTTTGGGTGATGTCTTATCACCTTCCTATTGTATTCTTTTTCCTTTTTCCAATGAAATTTTATTTTTACTCTTCAAAAGAAAAACTAAAAAAGTTGTGGTCTGGGGGATCACACGACTTATGAGGTATAAAAGAAAGAAAAATGATTCATTTGCTATTAGTTGGCCAAGCAAGGTAATGGATAGAGCTAGCATTCAAATATCTAAGGTTCACTGGCTGTCTATGGTTCTTTTCTGGTGTGCCTGTGTTTTTCACCTTTTTTTTTTAATTTTTTTCCTTGGCACAATACTCATTAATAGACATGTATATATCATATAAAATTGGAGTTTTCCCTTTTCTTTTACATACCTTATTTGTCAAAGAAAGGAAAGGTAGATTTTAGATGGGTTGGCTATGTTACCCAGATACAACAAGGACAGCTGGATAAGGTGTGAGATATGGTTGTGACAAAGGTTTCCTTTGACTTCTTGACCTGCAGAGAAGTGGACATGTTACAATAATGTTTTGGCTATGGTACTTTCAGCAGTACCATGCTTCTAGATCTTGCCCTGAGGATTTTTCATGTTTTGTTCCAATTTATTTCAATCATCATCATCATCATCATTGTTGCACAGCCATCATCTTTGTCAATTTCTTTTCTTTCCTTTTTTTGAGTTTTCATGGATAATGTGGATTTGCATCTGACAGGAGAATGCACAAAAGATAGCTGAGTTCCTCTCATATCATCCTAGGGTGAAGAAAGTTTACTATGCTGGTCTTCCTGATCATCCCGGACGCTCCTTACATTATTCTCAGGTAACTAATCTGATTTCATTAGCAAAATTGGTACTTCACCAGGGTGATTTCTTCTCACATCCACCTCTTGCAGGCAAAGGGTGCAGGTTCTGTGCTTAGTTTTTTGACAGGGTCATTGACACTCTCCAAACACATTGTGGAAACTACCAAGTATTTTAGCATTACTGTCAGTTTTGGTAAAATATTATTCTCCAGACACTGAAAGTTCTTCCAAATAGTTGCTGCTATCAGTTAGATCCTCATTGTTTTTCTTTATGTAGGGAGTGTGAAGTCACTCATTAGCATGCCTTGCTTTATGTCTCATGCAAGCATACCTCCTGCAGTCCGTGAAGCTAGGGGTTTAACTGAAGACCTTGTTCGCATTTCTGTTGGCATTGAAGATGTTGATGATCTAATTGCTGATTTGGACCATGCAATTAGAACGGGACCTGTGTAGGATAGTTGCTGATTTAATATTGATTAATCTGTGTTAGATACTATTGGCCAATAACTGATGCAGTCATCATCTCATTCTCTTGCAAGTATATTGATTCAGAGAGATAAGAAGAAACATAACCGTTTTTCTGTGTTCTTTCTTTTTCCTCTTTTTGGCCCTTTTCTTCCTAGTGGTTCCTAGATGGAAGTAGGGCTGTAATTGGACCGGATTCAGATTGGATCTAGCTATAGTGCTACATCCCCATCCGATCCTATTATCTTTGGATCCCGATCCGTTTCGATTTATGGGAATCTTCGTTGCAGAAATCCATCTATCAATAAAACTGAACAAATCTTGCACACGTTATGAGGTGTTCTGGGTCGTTTCTTTTTTCATGAAAAGAGGGTGGGAAGAGGAAAGTATGAAACCATATCTGATACAAGCATATATGAAATTCCATACTGATTTAGGGGAGGTTATAGAACAACGCAGTAAACAAGCCCAATCGCATATACGGTACATAAATATATAAAAGGAAAAAAGTTAAAAAGTATCGTGCCGATTAGTAAGCTTCTTTACGTGGCTGCACCAACAAAAGAGATTTCAATCCTCAATGAAAGCACACTCCATTATGACTTGATCTATTCTGTTTATTGTATATGCCACAATATAAAGTAAATCACTTGTTTGACGGCCATGGTTACAAAGAACCATTTCTGTTCAAAGTGAACTTACTTGTAGATGCCTCCTTTAGGCAATCAATCTAATATAATCAAAACCCCATCTCTAGTTACTATAAGTTTACATAGGCAATAAATTTTGAATCCTTCTTGATTTGCAGTTATGTACAATCAATAACTTCTCTAAAGTTATGTAGTTGCTCTGCAGTACAAAAAGCAAAACATAAGAATGAATTAGTTTTGTTGAAGTAAAATCAAAGCATGGAAAATCGTTAGGTATCAGAAATGGAATGGCTAAAGGAAGAACATAGAATCTATCCTACTTTCCTAGAAATATTACAGAAACATGCAAACAGGATGCAGAGATTAAATTCACTACAATATGCTGAAATACCAAATATACCCCATGCAATGTACTTTTTCCCCACGGATGACGAATGTTAAAACAAGCCAGTTGGTGCAAGTAATCCAATTTGGCTACCAGCAATCGTATTAAAACACTATTTTTTTCAAACAAAATTGTTTCCACTGTTGACACAGTCGAAATCAAAGCGTAGGAATAAGATTTAATAGAACTAGATTCATATTCTGAATCACATGATCGAACAAAGAAATGAAAAGGGACTCTAGCTTGGATTTTCTTATCAGTGGCAAGATTTGATTTTTATTTTTTTGATCATTGAGAACAAGATCTGCTTTTTGACATAAGATTTTGATAGTATTGAAGGAAATGGCACAATCCTAACTTAACAGAGAATCTTGACACTTTCATCTCATTTTCTGTCTATCGGAGAAACAAATTCATTACTGAGCTACATGAAATGCTAGCAAAACGGGTATGTTTATATGTTTATTAGTTTTGACATGGAAATAAGGTGTCCGATACAAAATTTGTAATGGAGGGAGTAATTATAGGATCGCAGGCCTTTATATTGTGAAAATGTCAAGCCACAATAGGCAAAACAAAAACAGGAATTTTTCCCAATGCAAGGGATTAAGGGGCAGTTTGGTAACAGTTGAGGTGGCTGAACTGAATGAACAGTTAAGGAGGTGAGCTCCTTAACTCCTTAACAGATGATGCTGAAGTTGGGTTAATTACTATCCACAAATATTTTATTCACTAAAAGACATAGTAATAAGCCATTCAATTCAGCCATTTCAGCAGATATCAAACAGTCCCTAAGGGGTGTTATATCTTGTCCTAGTGATTTCATTGGCCTGTAATAGCCAGGACAGTGACGCTAACATCCAGCAAATGTAGGAAATGCAAATAGATGAGGATCAATCAGTCATTTCAACCTGATTTATTAGAAATCCTGAAGATGAAATAAACATTTATTGCAATCTTCCAATTATTGTGGTAGAAGCTTAAGCTACAGCTTTCCTGCTATGGTTTCAGTAGAAATCTGCTGAATTAAAAAAATATGAAAGAAAGTAGTTTCTTGAAGAGAGAAGGAGAAAAAGAGAAGAGAAGTTGAAATAAAAAAGAGCAATAATTCTGGCCGCCCCCTTCACTTATTATTTATACTAAAATAATAGAACAGTACAAAGACAACTATGCCCTATAAGGGCGGCAAAACATAAAACAGCATATATAACACTCAAAAAACATAATAAAATTTGGACT